CAGGCTGTGTGCATTTCTCTGTGGACTGAGGCTTTGATGGCTTGTGTAATTTGATAGAGGTAACTCGGCTTGATGGGGCATCTCCAGCCTTTTGTTTTGGTTTTACACCTGCAACTTTAATGTGTGAATTCCTTCTCTCAAATCCCATCACTGCTTTCCACCGGCATCAGGCAGCATCAGTTTTCATATACATATGATAAACCCAGCAGACAGACATAAGTATTGACGAGCTGCTAACAGAGCTATAAAGAGAGTGGATATTGGATTTACATTTGGGATGTAGTTAAGTGATGACATGTCAATGGTTGTGTTTTGTCTTAGTTTGTTGTCCTAACCACAAGTGGCTAGTGGCAAGTCAATTTTGAGATTTATCCAGACTTTAATTGATTATCCTTTATATTGCAATTAACGGGTGATACAAGTGAGTCCATGCCACTGTGTGTAGGTCCCATAAGAAATACAGCAACTAGAGCAAATTATCATATGTTGTCAGTGTCAGCATGGGATGGGAGGGGGTTTCATCTCACACCTTTTCACACAGGACATTTTGACATGTCATAGCAGAAAAGCACAGGTGTAAATATCTATATTAACAATGGCTTAATTCCATTCAACTGCTTCAGTTTCAGGGTCCTGGTACTGCTCGTGCCAGCTCACTGTCACCGCTTACGGAACAAGTGTCTCGTTAATGATGGCTCTGTTGAACAGAACAGAGACATCAATATTGTTATTAGTGCCATCTGTGCTTTTCTGTGACAGGTCAAATGTCTGCTGTGAAAAAGGACACAAAATAACAGTAAATTCAGGAAATATACATTTGAAGGTGGCGCTGATTCTGCCGTCTGTCGTGGCTGTTTAACATGTTTCCACATGAAACAAAATGCTGGAAGGCACTTCATTTAAATATTAATGAGACTTCAACTTGTTTGTTTTTAGGAAATGGGAAAAACATGTAGCTTTTCTTTGATAGTGGAGAGTTTGCCTGGGTCATGGGGGTGCGGGACGCCTTCAATACAAGTACACATGTTAGATTTGTGAAATTCTGAGATATATGGTTGCGTTGTTAGCCCTTAATATAAAATCAGAGGTCACTGGTATATCTGGTATAATTAACCAGGGGGAAACATATCCTCTGATGATTTGAAGACAGCACAAGTATAAGGAATATTAAGTTGGTGACACATTTTCTGGGCATTTTTCTATTTTTATTCTCCTGACAGACTGAAGGACTGACGGAGGAACTTAAAAAGCTGAAGGCCAAAACAACAAACAAGTTTCTTCGAAAAACTCAAGGGAGGCACACAGCTGCCAACACACAGCTGAGCATCTGAGGGGACACACAAAGGCACACTGACATANAGGTACAGCAGCATTGATGTGTCAATCCCTGGGAGCGAATGTGATAAAACAGCTGCTTTTTCTGGGCAGTTACATATATTGAGATGCAGCCGTCTCATATTTAGTTGATGCATAAACAGCCATTTACAGATCTGTGATTGCTGTCACAGGGTCAACAAAGTTTTTTTTCCCCCAGAGGTTTATTTCCTTGTTTTAAGGAAACTTGAGAGCTGCTTCAGTTGGTGTGGATGGTCTTTATCAAACATCTACAGTCGAGTCTCCTGTTCTTTGTTTGCAGTATAACAACATGATGAATGTGACAGAGTTTGGGGTGCAATGTGTGGATGAAAGAGGAGATGAGTACGGGCAGCGGAGACGAGTGTAGCTTTGATTAAAGTTGAGTGTGAGAGGAGGATTGGTTTGTGGATTTACCGAGGGGTTAGGCACGTTATACTCTGTGTACTATTAAATGTCTACACCTTCAAAGTAAAGGGGAAACTAATAAAAATACATGAAAAATGGAGATGGCACTGAGGGACTTGAAAAACCTCTCAAATCCAAAACTGCCAGCACCTGCAGAAGAGAAGTGCTGACGCCTGCACAGCTGTTAGCGCGGATACGCTTCAGTGGATGGAAAGAAACACGGCTTTACGTCTGCACACATGGCTAAAGGTTCACTCTGGTCATGGTGAGTGTATAATGCAAACAAATGAATAATTTCCCCTGTGAGTTGCAACATTTCAGACACTGTCAATGAACATTAACAGCATTAACAACGACGGTGAATCGCTCTTTGTATTTTAAACGTTCAGTCATACTAAACTTCAGCTACCTTATTTTGGAGCAACAGGCTAGCTGAAGGCCAATGAAGATCAACATGTTAATTAAGCGTTACATATTTAACAGCAGCCTCGGTGTGAAAGCTCAACAGAGCACATCCTAGATCCGTCAGAGGAAATCGTTTTCGAAAAGACATGAGGGATAATTCACATAACTCACCATCAAGGTTAGAGTGACATTATGGGGCTGAGATTGTCAAGCTGGAATGTTTTCATATTCATAAACATCAGCTACTGGGTCAGCGTGGATATATCAGCTGGTATTTTTTTGTCCTTTTATAAATTGCTTTTTTAAATAAATCCTGCAAACTGGAAACTGACCCGGTACTTTAATAAATAAGAAAGATAAGAAATTACATTATGAGAGAAGCCTCAGCCCCTTAATATCGAGTGAATAAACTTTCAGATAATCAGTTCGGTGCACGCGGGGACAAAACGGGACAGAAAAGTGCAACATTTAAGTAAAGTCAAAGTCACAACAGGTCAAAGAGTCACTGGTGGAGACAGAGATGAAGAGGCAGGGGACACAGAGCGGTGATCTGACCGTGACTTTGTGCTGTCCGGTGAGGTTGGGCCATTCACACAGCAGCTGGCTCTCAGACAGGGTGAGGACGCAGGGAGTTTCTCCAATCAGCACCGTGTAGTTCAGGCGACTGTTACCCGGAGCGGCTGGGATCAAGTTACGACCCTAAACACACACACAGAGAGAGAGAGAGAGAGAAGATGTGAGGGAGGAGAGGCCTTCAGCTCATTCGTATTTTCACACAGACATTGATCATGTTGTAGGAAAGATTGTTGATGAGCAAGAAACTGAGTGAGGAACCATCAACACATTTTCTTTTTCGAATGACCTTCAACTCTAACCCTCTGATTGGTTAACAATGAAGTAATTCAATATGACATGAATAGTTTTCCTTTTTTTCTGTAAAGAGAGAAATGAGACATAGACAATAAAACTGCTCAATTAAAAAATGCCTTAAATATTTTTTCTTCCCATTAACAAATCCCCCTGATGACAAAAATCTTTAAAAAAAAAAAAAAAAGTTGGTATTTATTTTAATTTAGGTATTTATTTATATTTTAAAAGTCTCAGCAATTTTTTTAAGCAGCTGGGGGCTGTAGTTTTTTGCAAATGTTACTTAAACAGCAGTAAATTGTTTATTTGTTGGGGACTATTTTCAGCTGCGGATGAATACACATTAGGCCCTCCTGTATATACGGCAGCAGGACAAAGCATGTGAAAACTGGTTGACTCACTGATGTGTTTTTAACAGCTTTGGACAATAACGATGGAGCTCTATGGCACAGAGGAATAAGATACATCAGGCTTTGGATATAAACACAGAAGTTGTAAGTAAGATCAATTCACTGTTGGTCTTTTAATGGGAGTTTTGTTGACAACAAGCTGTAACTGTGGGCTTGCTGATGCACTGTCTTTGTGTATCTGATTGCGGTTTAATGTATTCTATTTTGAACTATAAATCAAGCCACAGAAGGAAAACAAGAGAGAAAGATGAAAAAGAGGGCGATAAAAGTGCACTCGTGCCTACTACAGGGATGCACAAACACCCTCACCCACATGGACTTGTGCTGGTTTTTTTCCTTTGTCCGCATAAACTGAATTCCACACATAACGTCTGTACAGGAGGTGTGTAAATTCTAACATTTGTCAATTTCAGTACCAGTTTTTCATTTCAATATCAAGCCCAATTTGACACACACTTTGTCTGTGATGGAGGGGGGGAGGGGAGGGGGGGGTTAGTGGTGTGAAAGGAGGAAAACCAAGCAACAGCAAGAAAACAAAAAGCAACAGGGGGAGAGATGAATACAAAGAAAACAAGATAGGAAATGTGACAAGAAAACATCAGGAGAGCGGGAGCGAGGTGTGGAGAGAGTGGAGAAAAGATTATGAGAGAGGTAGAAAAAGATGTAAGGAATATACTCAGAAGTGAGAAAGAAAAAGGGAATGACTGGGAAACAGAGCTAGTAAGAGAGTGAGACAGTGAGAGAAAGGGAGAGAGAGAGAGGAGATAGCTGCCGTGTGTCCCGCTGGCTTAGCAGTGGGACACAGAGACAGACTCCGTTTTCCAATCCCGTCGTCTCTGCAGGCTGCCACCGAGCCCTGCTCTGCAACCCTGTAAACATGCATCCCATTCCATCTCGCAAACACACACATACACAGACACACACACAAACACACACACGCAGAGTTCAAGCCACACACGCACTTGAGTCACAGCCACACACAGAGCTGTTGCCACACATACACACAACAGGCGAGAAGCATCATGCGGGGACTTGCTCTCGGAGACGCACAAACACACACACACATAAACACACACACACACAGGGAAAGCACTCAAGAAACACCAAGACCAGATAAATATTTTTTTCTCTCGCTAACACACCTCAATGAAAACACACCCGACACTTCAGATGAGAAATTAATTGCGTGGCGAGCGCGGTGCATGCATCTGAGAGAAACGCTACCCCCACATCCCATCTCGCCAAATTGCATTTTTGTCCATCTCATCAGCGCTTCGACTAGGTAGGCAGTTCCACCAACAAGCCAAGCAGGAGATTTGGCAATTACAGAGAGGCTCTTTGCTAATAAATTATCATTTAAGAAATAAATCATGATGGTTACGCTGTTTTCAATTTTTTCATGGAAATAAACACGGGCACACGCTCGCTGTGATAACACAGGAGATAGTCAAGGCATATTTGAGCAAAAGACAGAAACACTGAACACTGGATTCAATGCTAATCTGACACATCAATGTGATATTGATCTAAAAGAAATGAATAGTATATTGTCTCTTTATTGTGAACACTCTCATTAAAGTTGAAGTAAATGTGTTTAACCATTTGATATACTGTACAGCCCACGTAGTGTCAGCAGTGAAATGACTGATGTGTGCACTTGAGATATTTAGTTTTTTACCTTCTTAATAATTTTTGACTAATCTGCTGGTTATTTCACATTCATAATAGCACATATATTCCCTCAGAAACAGCCACATTAATGCCTCTCCAATCACTCCTCCACTACATATTTCAGGTGAGCTTCAGTGTAATAATATAATGACACATACACTCGACGCGCAAATTGCCAATTAATTTCATAAACTTATGTCCAATCACTGTTAATGAAAATGAAAACCAATATAATCCAAATCTCCTGGACTCTGGGCCCGTGTGCTTCCACGCTGCCCTTCCAGCGCTAGAAATTAATTACACAAATTGAAGGCAGCGTTATTTAAGAGGGCTCCGGGCTGCAGAGGAGGACAGCAGTCAAAGAAGTTGCTGTTAGTTACTGAAGGACAGAAACAGGCCTTGGAAGGTGTGGACGATCACATTCAGCTTTCAATTATGAATTTGTGAGGGTTTTTTTTTTTTTTTCTTTTTTGCCTCTGAGAGACCTTCTATCACATTCAAGTGCTTTTTTTTCTTTTTTATGAGAAAATAAAATGCCAGCGAGTGTGTGCTTGTGTGTGTCAGTGAATGTAGACTTTGCCATTATTAATACAAGATTGGTTCAATATGTTTGAGACTCTTGTACTCAACCAAAAAGCTATGTATCTACCACTGCCTGAGACTTTTTTATATGGCTGCTCAGCATCAATACTCTGTTTAATGGATGTTTAAAAAAACAAGAATTCATACTATTTTATTTTATATTATTATATCAATATTTTATATGCTATATCCACCTTTAGCTCTGTTTACGATAAAATAACAGCAGCCTCTTCCAGTGTTGTGCTGTACAATGATCTTTGTTTACATAAAGTATACTTATACTACCAGGACTAACTAGCTCTACACTGCAATACAAAACGATGCTGTTTCCTTGTGTCCATGTCTTTTACACGAATCAGCTTTAGCTTCAGTCTTTTACCATATGTCCTGAATGGACAGGCATAGCAACAGTAACTAAGAGAGGCAGGGCTTAGTGAAAGGTCAATTTAGAAGTTTTCCCATAAAATCTGACCTGATGCTTTATAGTAACATGTAAGGATGCTCTGGCAGATAAAAAACAGCTGATTCCATCACAGTGCAAAAACAGGGATTATCTTCTATTTCTAGTCTTCCTAATGCATTTACTCCTGTCATGTGAAGGATCTATTTATCTACCTCTGAGCATACTGGAAAAAAAAAATTTAATTAGCTTGAAATCCGCACCATTTTCTAACACCAAGTAAATTTCCTTGTAAGTGTCAATAGCCTCATTCCCAGTGCATAAGCTGTCTAGAGGCAGGACACAGCTCCATTACAGAACAAGTCCCTGACAAGTTGAAATGTGTTTACAAAGCTTCCTTGATAAGTACAAGGCTAAGCTGTTTGCAAGGCAAGAACAACCGATCAGAGCTCTGATAAAATAAACTGAAATGTACAGAATTACAGAACAATGCTTTCAAAAAATAACACCTCTGCCTTTCTAACCTTAAGAATGAGCGGTGACGTGGGTTTGAGCTCCAGTATTCCAGAGGGGCTCAGTGGCTCAAACACGGGGTCGGGGTAGTAGCTGAATGTTTCATTGACCACAACGAGAGCGTTCACGTTGTCCATGTAGAACCCAATCTCGTCCGGGCCAGTGCCGGTCTCTGAGAAACCGAGCTCAGAGTCTGCCACCGACGGAGCCAGGCACACCATGACTGAGTTGTTATACACCGTACAGTTCTGAAAATGAGAGAGAGGGAGGAAACAATCAAGTTAAAGGTCCCATATTGTATAAAGTTAGAGTTCCATATCTATATATCCATGTCATATATTTTTGATATGGTTTGGGTTCTATATTAATACTGTGTGTTAATACTGCCTGTATTCAGAAACTGAGCCTCAAAACGAGCCGTCATGAGTTCTGTAACCTTGTGATGTCACAACAAAGCAGTCACCACTGTCATCCATGCCCCAGGCCCCGCCCACCTGAACCATCCAACCTTGTAGGATTTTGTATCTCTGAGTGTTTACCTGAAATCTGCTATACATTTATTTGGTTAGTCAGCCAATCAGAAGAGAGGCTCAGAGCCGCCTCTCTTCTGATTGGCTCACTGACCTCAACTACATTGAGATGGCTTTTGGTTCTTAAAACCACAGTTATATTTTCTTATGGATATCAACATGATAAATAAAATACCTTAAAAGTGTAAAATATGGGCCCTTTAATGGCTTATGTTTCCAGTCATCAGGAGAATTTTACCATATTTAAATTTGAGGTAATGAACTGTAGTAGGGAAACAAAAAATCCTTTAGTGTTCTTCGAATGAAAACACATACACTACAATATATGAGAGTGGAAATCTAAATACTTTTTCTAATAATCTCGTTACGGCTCTATTTACAAGGCTATCATGTATAAAACAGGTAGCACGGCCTCCTCTTAAGATACTGAGAATAACCTGCAGGCTATAATTTTCTTTCAAAATGGATCTATTGGGTAATAACCCATCGTTTTTGTAAATCAATGCCCTGTGAAACTGCGATGCTGCTATACTTATTGAAAATGGAAATTGGTTGGAAATTTATGATCAGCTGTTAATAATGGGCAATGTGCTGCGTGCATTTGCTTGTACCTGAGAATATTTCACATCATTGTTTTGGAGAGTACGTGAATAAATGATCATGGTCATGTTTGCATCAATTTATACGACTGCCTGGAGGACCATACCAATGTTTTTGCTTGGTTTAGACAATTTACTACAAATATATTTTAGATTGCTACCACAATTCTTTGCATATGGAAAGGAAGCTTAAGAATAACTGTCATATTGATTTTGGTTAAAGCGCAACTGGGATGTATAATAATAACTACAGTGAATGAAAAAATATATCTTCATCGATAAACACCGATAAAAATAAAAAAAAAAAGGAAAATATTAATTGAAAAAACATGATGTGTGTTATTTGTGTTGTGAATGCGTCACTATTAAGCCGTCAGATGTTCGACATTGGAGCATCTCACCAAGATGTGGGTTTTCAAATGATTCCGCACATTCAGTTTCATTGCAGTGCAATTCCCTTTTGACACCAAAATTAGTGGGTATGAGCAGTTTTTTAAACGTGGGTAAACTAGCTAAATAAGGCGATTGACTCCTTTTACACTGCCAGCCGGAGAGGACACACACACGATGTCACCACATGCAGTTACAGAGCACACACACAGATGCAGGGGAGAAAGAGTGAGCTGCTAGTCGCTTTGCAAACTTGGAAAAATGGACCTGTCCCGTCTCATCCCCGGGTTGGTGCTCCTGTCAGTGTCTCGGTGTGAGGCACTACGATCGGTGATTGTGTGTTTTTAAAACTTATTTAGGGCCTGTGGCTCACTCTTTTATCCCCGTAGCCACTGTGTTTCTGGTTTAACAGCACACCACTGGGCAGGTGACAGGTGTATCTAACAGTGTTTGTGCTCTAAAAGACGTTGAAAGATGTGAAAAATGCCACAGCACAGAAAATAGGTGAAAATAAGCAAGTTCACATGCCGATTGGAGCTGGAGCTGATAAATACTGCTCTACCTCTACTCTACCTCTACCTCTAAACGTCTACCACAGAGTCATTTGACCTGGGTGTGAATGCTGATTGTTCCCTTTTCCATTGAAAAAAAAAAAAAAGCCTGAAAAAAAAAAGACAAAACTAAAAGCAGTCATGATGTCTGCTGTGACCTATCTTAAACAAATCTCTGCAAGTTGCCTGTTATATTGCACCAAAATGAATAGGAACCAAAGGTTGGGATGGTGAGACAAATGTATTGAAAAATGTAAAACACTACAGTATGTTTTGGAAAATGGCTGTCAGTTAAGTACTCGCGATTTTGTAGTAAATGGGCGACAACATTCAAAAATACCAGCATGGTTCTTTAAGTGCAAAGTAGTGCTTTGATAGAGGGCTGTGTGGGATGCATCGTGAAGGCTGTTTGCCTCAATAAACGACAGCTTTATCTGCAGGTTGAAGTGCCTTAGTATTGTTTGAAGTTTAGTTCCCTAACGCTAACAACTAAAGAGCTTCAACTCATGGTGACAATCATCAAAGTGCTTTGTGAATATTATCCATAGAACCGATGAAACTCTTCGGCTCCTTCAGCGGGACTTTAGGTTTTGAGTTTTTTTTTTTTTTTTCCTTTCTTCTTTATTCCCCAGAAGATTTTCTGCCTCTCCCCCCTCTCTCTCTCTCTCTCTCTGTCTCTCTCACACATGCACACACAGTCTCTCTCATGGTGCCTCTTTTTGTGACACAAGCACTCATGTGGTGCGGTGACATTTGAAAAGCTGTGTGGCCTGAGGTAGCGTTAGATGTCTGAAGCTGTAGCTGTAGAGAAAGGAGACGTGAGCAAAACACAGAGACGTAGACTGTCTGCCACCTTCAGCAGTATTATTGAAGATGTTGTCTGCAGAATTTCTTGTGCGTGTCAAGGTGCATGTCTGAATGTCTTTGTATGTATCTGAATGTATGTATGTATGAATCTGAATTATGTATACTGTACATATTACATACCCAGGTGTGTTGGTGAATTTTCGATTTGTGCATATGAGCTTGTGCATGGTGGTGTGTGTTTCTGCACTGGCTGCTTGTCAGTGTTAACCTGTCTGTTAGTGTGTGTGCTTGTAATGTGCGTCAGTCACTTAGATACTCACATGAAAGGATTCTGCCTGCCCATACTTGGCCCTGATCTTCGGTTCACGGATGGTCGCGAGGTTGGTCCCGCTTACTGTCAGCAGAGTCCCACCACTGTGGGGACAAAAAAAAAGAGAAGTGGGAGGTGAGTGAAAAGAAACGGCTGAAATGTCGGCGGGTAAAACCTCCTTCAGGTCAAACAAATCTCTGCCAGAACATTTCTTATTGGTAAAGGCAAGATTTGACCGTATTAAACCAAGACCACAATCTTTCCCCATCTTAAGTCCTGCTGGTGCTTAAACATAACCATTAGAAGTTGAATGATGCTGTAGCTGCTCTGAGCAGATACTGTGCTGCAGGAGTGGATATTTAGTCAAAAACCAAATGAAAACTGAAAAACATTTTACTGGTATATTTGGATATGATAAATAACAATTAATTAACTAATTGTGTTAAAAGAAAACATAATCCTTGCAACATTATGTTTCACCTAAAGCGTATTTATATTTGCAAATGAGCACTATATGAATGTAATTTCCAGGAGACAGGATTGGCTAACATGAAAAGTGATGATAAGGAGCAGAATTAACACAGACATTTGCAGTGTCAACACACAAAATATTTTTCATAAAACTGTGTAGTTCAGCACTTCATGTATTATTAAAAACTTGAGAGAATACAGCCTGACCACTTTGCAGGAAATAAAGAATATTTGGCTCCAAGTGTGGAGCGGAGTGCCCTGGGCGTCAGGTAGGGCTCAGGGATGAGCTGTTTCTAATGGAGTTAACAGAGGGAAAAAAAAAAAAAAAAAAAGTAGAGAATGAGAACACCGGGGAGCGCATGTGTGAGTGAACCTCAAAGAGAAGGAGTAGAAAGAGGCTGAATGAGAAACTGAGTCAAAGGGAAAGATCCACAGAGATATTGCACATTCTTCGATCACAACTCCATGCACAGTAAATATGGGCTCGTCCTTGAGCCGGTGAAGGTCACTGCACTGATCCAGTAAACTCCAGAACTTGGCTGAAGCCCCTGAGCATCCTTTCGCCGGTGAGTAGTGTGTGGAGGCAGACTCACACCCTCTTAGTGTAGAAACATCTACTTGTTTGGATCAATTCCCAAAAGGATTTCATGTGTTTTTTGGAGTTTGTGATTCAAGTCTTGGGAAAACGTTAGGCACCCTTCAGTGGTTTACCGTGTTGGTATGACCCAAAATGATTTGTGGACTTGTTTCCTTTGATGACCCCCCTCAGAAAGTTACTAGTGCTGAGAGAGGATCATGAAGTCACGGATGAAATAAAATCTATATCATGGAGGACTCTTGACACTTGTAAAGACAATGGAGTTACTCTGTCCTTTTCACTGCTACACTTAAATCGGATTTATAAGGTTTTCGTGAAAGCCGTCTTACCTTCTCGATGCCTCCCTTGCTTTTTTTTTTACAACGGCAGTTCCAACCTCTGAGTACTCTACTCGATTTTTTCTGCAAGAAGATCACTGCCTTTCACTGCTGTGCCCCTGAGAAATATAGTGTATAGGATTCCCTATCGTGTGTCTGTCTGCAGGTTCCCCATCGCCTGGAGGAGGATATACTGTAGTCTCAATCGCTGCTGCCTGAAATAAAAGGCTGAGATAATGATATATCCTCAAAAAGTCACAAGTGTGCAGCTCCCTTCCAGGCCATTGGACACTAAAGCATTTTTTAAAACATGGAGTGAAAATCCAATGGGTATTTTGGGCCTTGGTTAAGGTTGTAGTTCAAATGGCCAACACCCATTGTTATGATATCTCACTGAAAGGGGATCTCATCTCTCTGCAGATGTCTCGCTGGCTGGGGCGAAATGTAATACACCTAATTCTCTGCTCAGAGATCCCTGACTCTGACTGCTGCTTCCACTATCTACACCTTAAAGACAAGGGTTTCAAGATTTACTCCCTCTGTTGCTTCGGTGATATCAGCTCTCTGCAGGGGTGGGGAGCTCCTCATTGTCACTTCCTAGGACTTTTTAACTAAGGAAGTCTCTATTCTGTAGACAGATTTGCCACTTGTCTCCCGGTGTGCTGTTCTTTCAGCTCTTCTCACATATTGTGGAGCTCTACACCAAAGTATAATTTCATCATTTTTGAAAAACAGACGTCTTGGTGTATCTTGACCAATCATCTTTGTACCGGAGCTGGCCCTATGAAATAGCTACGCTCTCTCTGTTCTTTATCCCTTTATCCCTTATCCACCATTCTTCCAGGATTCATGATAACTTGAATGGCTTTGAGTAATCCAGCGGGTCTACTTGTATTATTTCCACGTGAAAGTGATGAACCTGCCCTATAAATTATCCTTGGACATTCTGCCATTTTGCTGAAAAAGCTGGGAGCATTTTCACCGCTTTTACCTCGTGCAGTTGCAAGTGGTTGAGTGGTGACCAATGACCCACTGCTTTTGAATTGGAGGATTAGGATGTAATAGCTGTTTTTGACAAGCCTTCCTGTCTCTACACCAATCAAAGATAAGACAGAGCAACATCTGCTGATTCCTGCCTCCCTGACAAAGAAGGCAGGACGTTCCTGTGGTAGAACGAGTGGTTGTTAAATTAGAGCAAGTTCTAAAGATCCCTTCAACTAATCTAGGCAACGTGTCCACAGGTCATTATAAAATATGTTATTGCATCATGTGACTCGCTCGTCCCTGGCTTGGCTTGCAGCTCAGACAGCACCCTCTCCAACCCTCTACCACAGATGGATAAGAAGACACGTTCCTACGGTTATCCATGTATTAACATTGATTTCTGCAATATACAGGAGTCTTTTCATTGTAGACATTAACCTGACACTTATCCAGAAACACAACATGCAGCAAGCACCAACAGTAGAGTAAAGTGATATGGTGGATAGCGAGTCTTGCTGGCTAATGCTAGACATCCATCCCTCACTTTAATCCAGGAAGATTTACAATAACAATAAATGGATAACAATAGGGAAGGTTAGGGTGTAAATGATAAAGATAGCTGTACCATCTCCTTCATTGTTGATAGACTAAAGGATTCAAGTTTGGCTATTCTTCTCAGCAAAATTTTTTTTTTCTCTTTTGGCAGCTTGCCCATTACTGGCTCAGGAGAATGAGTCTCATTCATTCTGAGTCTCTTTGGTGTTTCTATGACTGTAGATGTTATTGGGGGGGGGGGGGGGGGGAATCAAGTCTTTCACTGGTATTTTTGACAGCTGACACGGGTGTAGCACTACTTGCTTCCACTTTCATGTACCATTTGCATTCACTTTTTGTGATGCTGTACTCTTGTCATTTCCACTACAGCACTGTAATCTTCAAGAGCCAAATTCAGCTGGAAGTGAGACACTTCAAGTCACTATGGCTGAGTGCCATGAAACTCTGCCATGATGTGGTGAAATTAATTTTGCACCAATCAAGCCCGTTCTGTCGAGCGGAGTCTAATTAATGTTAAAAAGTTTAAGTTGTAATATTGTAAAACTTCCATCTGAAATCTTATAATGATTTTTTTAATCTCATTCTTTAACCTACGCTCCACTTTGAATGTAAATTAGTTGTTCTAGTGTGACAGCCGGGGAACGTTCTCCTGGATTCTTCTTCTATTAGTTTGGACTGTTGCCATGCAGTAATATCATTTATCTAGCTAGAGTAATATATCAATAATAAATATGTTTTAATGAGTACCTTAAGTTTTATAAGTGTAATACATAATGCCATACACTGCCATATTAATCTGGCCTAAAAACACCTGTATGTTAGCTACATACTGTAAGCTGTGGTTTGCTCATGTACTGTAAGAGCTGTAAACAAAAGAGAGCGATGAAGGCAGCTGATAAACAAGGGAGCAGCAGCCACATTCAAATGAACTCATTTTTAATTGGAAGTTTATGTCACTGCCACAAATGCATCATGGGACAGAGCAGGCTGCACTTATATAATACTGCCTACCCTCCACCTCCTTCCTCCTCCTCCTCCTCCTCCTCTCTCTCTCTCTCCTTAGCTTGATGTATATTTGTGCTGAGTCCCTCTGTCCCTGTTGCTCCTCTCTTTGTCTAAGTGAGTCTCTTTAGCTCAGGTACATGCTTCAGGGAACAGACAACAAGACAATCAGGATAAACTCTCAGGGATAGCTGGGGAAATCCAACCACTGTTGTTAGTGTGTCTCTCTAGATGCTCTCCCTCCCTCGCTTGCCATCTCTGTCCTCCTTTTTTCCTACCCTCTGCCTTGTCCTTATTCTCACCCGGTTTTGGTCTAATCCTCCTCTCACTGTAACTGTCATTCATTTTTGGTACATTTTTGCGGAGCTTTCTTGTAAGTTGACTGTGATACTGTTAGCTCAAAATGGAAATTTGAGCTAACATAAATGAAACACACAGACTGACTCAAACCAGCATTTAAAGGAGCAATTTGCAAATGTTGCTATTACTACGTAGCCAGCGTTAGCATTAACAGCTGTTACTCACCAGTCTTGGCAAGAGCTTTAGCCATTGTTGCATTTAAAACACACAAGGTTATAATTCGCCCTCTGAGCAGCACTACATCTTCGGAGCAGACTAGATGCTACACTGAAAGTGACAAAACAGTCCAACCGGGGCTAGCTGGTTAGTATGCTAAAGTCCTAGAAATAGAAGCAAAACAAGAGGGTTGTTTTCCACCACTGGAGACAGCTCTTGGCAAGTGAAAGAGTAAAGTTTGATGTTGAACTGACAAGTTTCATCTAGAGTGGTTAAGTAAACAGCTGTTAATGCTAAAGTTGGCGAAGTAGCAAAAGCAAAACTTACCAACAGCTCCATCAAAGCTTTGAAGCGAAACTAATTTATTTAACAAAATTGCAGCAATCATTGGATTAGCTTGTGGTTAGCAGTACGGGTCTTTTTGCAAACATTGACACTTGAATTTGAATCTGACCAACAGAAAGCCATATTGACAGTGCTAACAGTGAGCCAGAGAGCCCCAAAAAGCTGCTGTAGCTCATTAGCTTTGTTGCATTGTCCACTTTTCTTTAATCCTCTTCTGTTGTTGTATGAACTGTTCCACAAAGGAGGCATGGTAAGCAGACAGTTACACAGGAGTCAGTGGTAGAAACTGATTTTTTTTGTATCAGCAGTGGGAACTGACTCCCTACGCCACCAAGCCTCTACCTACCTTGTGAGGACATGTAGATGAACTTGCTTATGCCACTTCCTGATGTGACCTGTATGCTTGTTATAAAATAAATACTTTGGTTAATCAATTTGCACTTTCGGGATATTGACGGAATTGCCTGCTTGTTGCCTGAACACCTATATTTAGTACAACCAGTTTGCTAATGGTTACACAGATTAAGGAGCTGCACTGGAGTAGTAGGGGGATTCAGTGACTCGCTTAAGGGCAACCTTTTGACAGTACTTGCTGAGGAGTGGCAAGCCTCATACCATCTGCAGTCTGTTTGGGAGAATATCTGAATATTTTGGTCCAAAATTGCTTGTCTAACCTCTGCTGCAACCCAAATAGCTTTCCTCACTGTCCCAGATGAGCACTCCTCATTGATTTATTTTTGAAGTGCTCTGTCTTCTTCCTAAATGGAAAATCATCAGCCAAGCACAATGATAATGCACTCTCTCTCTCTCTCTCTTTCTCCCTTCCCACCTCCCCCCTTCTCTTTTTCTCTTCTCACTGTCTTTCATCCACTTTTGCTATCATCACCCAAGCACAATGATAGTACTCTGGAGGCGTGCATGTATTCGCACAAAAGCAGACAATGAGGCAGATATGAACCAATATGATATCACATCTCAGTCGTTCGTTATACTTTCTACCTGAGCCAACATGTGACACCGTAACGGAGGGCGCTGGCTGAAAAGCATCAGCTAAATTAAAGCTTCTAGCTCTAGCTTTAAGCAACACACACCTTTTGTGTATCTCGGTTTTGTCGTCGTTTGTGAGGTGTGGGTGTGTTGTTTAGTGGTTTTCTCAGCCAGATGGAGGAGGGATCTGGGGCCAAACATCAGGGACTCTGGGAATCAGTGGGGCGTGTGTGTGTGTGTGTGTGTGTGATTGTTTGTGCATGCTTGTGTCTTCTATATGTGGGATCATCATCCCTGAGTGAGTTTCCTCAAGTAGAACCCTAGTTTTGAGCTTCACAAGCACACACACACACACGTAGCCTCACAGCAGGTGTGCAGGGCAGTGATTGGGCCTTAGCTGCTTCTCGGCCAGTCCTACTGAGCAAAGGGAACAGGGCAGGATTCATCAACACTCTCCTCTAACAAGCTCTGCATCTATCTGCTACCATCTACTGATGAGTCACCACAGGGAAGGAGGCAACACAGAGGAGGAAAGAAAGGAGCAGGAAGGAAGGAGATAAAATGAGAGGAAACGGGGGCTACACAGTGGCCTGTTTCAACATCTCGAAATAAATTAAGAAGGTAGGGAATGAAAATAGACAGAATAACGGAGGGAAATATATAAAAGAAGAGTGCACAGTAGGTGTTCTGATATAATATAGTAGATTGGATTGGCCTTTTCAGATAGGTGAGTAACATAAAACTGAAAACTCATTAATCTGGACAGAATTTTAGGCTCTGCCAAATTACAGAAGGTGGTTTTATGAAAGACAAAAATGTTCTGTAGGAAAATTGTGACCCTCATTGCCAGCCGGCACCCAGCTCCAACACCTAAAGATCAAGGATCCAGGACAGGACTTGAATCACACAAGGATCATCAGGTGCAAATAATCAGTGCGTATTTGGGAATGTAATAAATGCTGTGCTAGTGGGTGAAAAATCAACCACATATGTGCCTGACACAGGATTAAAATCACTGATTAGTCCGAGGCATATTAAAACCACCCAATGTCCCACAGAGAAAAGCTGCTGAGGTAAGGGATAGGTTTTGCAGTACCAAGTATCTTTCAGAAAGACCAGTGTGTGTGTGTGTGTGTGTGTGTGTGTGCCCTCCAATGCCAATAAATCTACTTTAATGCGAAACCTTTGCTTGTGTGTGGTCCTCCCCGGTGATGCTGCTGTCATGTTCAATGCTGAGTAGAGGGTCTTAATTTATTTAGCGGGGGATATACTCTGCAGCATCGCATGACAGGCTGTGGAAAGCCGAGTGTGAAACCGAGAGTTGCATTAGTTCAGGCAGAGAACTTTGGCCTCGCATATTATCAGCTGATCAGCATTAGCTGCCTCTTCAGTCACCAATCACGTTCAAACAATTAATGGGCTGTATAATCTGACAAGCTCACACTCCTCATTTTGGGATCAACGAAGCTGCTGCTGCTGCTGATTTCCTCCACTCAAAAAAGGTTTTACTTGAGCCAGATGAAAAAATCTCCGGAGGCACTGTCAATTTACCTCGATCCAAACCTGCTGTCGGAGCTCACATCGAAGTATTTAAGTTTGCCCAAACTGCTTCAAGAACGCTTCCTCAAATTTGTCCTGGTAATGCTGCTGCGTCACGAGCACTAGTATAAAAGTCAAGGCCCAAACCCTGATTTCCTCAAGCTACTAACTTCTCAGAAAATCCACCCTCTGTCAGGACTAACTATAAATGAAGGATATTTGTCTATCTGTATTTAGATTTTCTTGACAACCACTCATCCTATTGACTTCAAACTTTGCAGGTGTATTGCTGTGGGGGCACAAGGAAGTGCGGTGTCTTTTGGATGAGCGCTTCTCGAGTGGAAGCTTCAAACATCGGTTTCCTACATGCAACCACCTGACGTGAAGAAAATGGCAGAACTGCACTACGAGGGCAGTGCAGCACACGGACTATTTACAACGTGCTCAGACCAGGATTTTAAGAAAAGGCCTACAGCTCTTTCTACGCCATCACCCAGACGCTATCGGAGCGGAGAAGCCAACTCCGGCAGTAAACAAGACTGACGGACCACTTACACCGCAGGGTGTATTGCTCAGGACCAGTGTGAAGTTATTTGGATGATGCTCTCAAGAAAGAGGCCTAGCTGGATTAACACAGACCAAGCAATCGGCCCCTACAGACAGACACATTTTGAATGGGCACTGCACTGGTTAGACAATATTCCAGTGGGAAACAACATTTATGGTTTGGTGCATTTATTGAGTTCCTTGTAAGAGCTCTCCAACATTGGTTCATTTTAGGAGCAACAGCCATTTGTTGCTATAACTAATCAAATATCCTCCGTCAACCAAAATCTGTTAATTAGTGAGATGACAAGTTGCCAAATACAAACAACCGAGCCAAGCCAGTTTGTCTGGAAGCCCTGCTTGAGCTACAAATGGGTATTGTGAGCCTAAATGGACTAAACACAATAAAAAAAAGTGCAGCTGAACAAATGATCACAACACAGTGGCTCACCTGGCGATGCTCCAGTCTGGTTCAATCCTCAGGACAGTGGGGTCTTCAGTGTAGTTAAACTTGACCTCAGGGTTTCTCAGCTCAGCGTCGTCGATGTCCACCAAGACTGACGAACTGCCTGGTGACAGTCCAGCTGGTGTGACACACACTATCTCACGGGCGTTCCTCCTGGATGGACAGAGAAAAGGAAGGGAAAGTTGGAGGAAGGTGATGGAGCAAGCATTTCACAAATAACAGAAGGTGGACAAAAATCACTGTCAACTCAGACAAGCGCTGAATTGCCCACAAAGCTTTATAAATGTAAGAAACTGTAGCTGAAATCTATACTACAGTATCATAGGGAACAGTTTTCAGAGAGAACAGTAGAGAGAGATCTGCAAGGTCACAGGAATCACCTTTGGTTAATCAAAGCTTCTGATTGCAGCACTGTAAGCCATCAGCAATAATGTATATTGTGTGTGCACTGTATTGTCTGTGGCACCATTTATACCTGGTATTATCATATGATCTGTATCGGGATACATCGTATTGATATACAATCTTCGGGCCTTTGCGTTAACACCTGATATACTTAACTGTTCATGTTGTCTCACATTGGGATCAGATCTTAAAATGCAAATGAGTTAGGATGGGCTGCAGGGGTTTCCTACAAACATGGCCTGTCCCAGGTCACTGGAAGCAATGTCTTGGATGGGTGGCGTTCATATTAAAATGTTAAAATAATTTCTTTTGAGATTTTTCTTTTTTTTTTTAAATGTAGTAACACTGAATCAATTGAATTGGCTGAGATCTGATCACAATATGAGCCAGACCATCTCCAGATGTGGCTGACCTGGGCGCAGTGCGATCACAGTGCATTCAGCCTGCATTTACACTTAGCATTAACATGTTTTCCTTCGCCAGACAGGATATCCAGATTCAGATCGCATGTAAATGTCAGGTATAAATGGCATTATATATCAGGCATATACAGCGTGTTCAGCGACAAATCCTGTTCACTTCAACGAAGAATTGTATAGTGGAAATAACAGCAACAGCTCTGTATGCCGTGACTAGTGTAACCTCTCCTCCACAGCTTGTCGTTCTTTTATATCAAAAGAAATGAGATAGGTGGTTTACTGTAGGGAGGATTAGAAACAGGGAACTGAAGTCATGTTTAATGAAGTTTGTACCTGCTATGATTGGTGCTCTGAAGAGGATCAGCGCCACCAGTCACAAACATTGGGGTTGGAAAGAGTTTGTGTGTCTGCGTGTGTGTGTGCGTGTGTGTGTATGCGCTGTAAATTTGTGTGTCCGTGCTCGCGTGTCCCATAGGCAAAATAACATTTTCAACCGCAGTCTTGTGTGCAGTCCCCAGTAGCTACATTATCTAATATGTATTTAGCACAGTTGAGTGGTGGCTGCTTTTCTGGGCCATGACTTCACAGGAGCGACTTGTGTGTGTGTGTGTGTGTGTGTGTGTGTGTACTTTAATGTAGTATTGCACATTCAATTGTGCCTCTACACACCAAGGCAGTCACATAGAGAGGGAGAGAGAGAGAGAGAGAAAGACAGGGAGAGCCTGTAACCATAGCAACCCCATTCACAAAGAACACATGCCCCAGCAACCTTCACAAGATGCCACAAACACAGTCACACAGTTAGGGTGCGACAGATAAAGACAGAGCTGAGGTGAGCGAACAGTTGCCGTGATGCTGGATTACTGTGAGGAGGCTGTGGCACAGAAATGACACTGTGACATCAAAGCTAGCATACAGTTGCTTCAATAGAGATTAGCTACGAGAAGCTAATCCATGCATTTGACATGCCAGCAACTGTGGTGATAGTTTCGTTTTTTTTTTTTTTTTTCACGCGTTAGATTAGGGAAAGCCGGTGTGAGTGCAGACAAAGGAATACTGTGTGTTTGCAGGCAACAAGCATGTACATTCAGGATCCCCCCCCACACACACACATACACGAAAACACCATAACCTGACACACTGATTACATGCTTACATGTGCATGTAATATCTTTACGATGATGACATTTTTTTTTTGCACCTAAACAAATCTTTTAAAAGAGCATGTTTATTTATACACACATATTTTCTGTTTTTATTAATCTCTTGCATTTTTTACAGTACCTTCAGTCATACTTATGAACTTGTTTTACTATATATACTAACTTTAAATATTCTTTATGATGTTCCCATTTTTCCACAGGGATGATTAAAATTTAATTTAGATTGAAGAAAAAAAATTGATCCTTACTTTTTGAAGTAGCAGGGCTGTGGTCCTATGCTGACAGACACGTAGCTGCCTGCGTTAAGGTTGCTTCCCTCGATGGTGACCCGGGTGCCGCCAGAAATGGGCCCCTGAGACGGCTGGATACGGGTGAAGTATGGAGTCTGGACAAGAGAAGAAATAAACACAAGTTAATCTTAATAGTAGCAGATGAAAAACTACATGATTTTACTTTCTATGCAAAATACAAACTAACCCTCAGTATCACATGGAGTACCAGTCTCATAAACTGAGTAAGAAGAATCAAGAGAGCTCAAGAATAAGAGTGAAGATAAATGAGATGACATTAAAAAACAAGTCAATAATACATATAAAATGCTATTTTAATAGGTGATATTGACAAAGTCATTAAGGCAAAACAAACAGGGTTTAAAGAGCTTGAAAACAAAGCGCTGACCATCTCCAAAGACCTCCTAATTTAGCTTTTAGTACCAATAGTATTTAAAGTTTAATGACACAATGATCCTCCTTAAAAATGATAGCAGTGAAATTAAAAACAACATTAATGTAATTTTAAAACTAAACGGCTCTGACATAATTCTTGAAAGGAGCTTGTGATATCATATTTGCGCTTCACTGTTCCATTCTCAAATTTAAAAATAATGTCCTTTGTTCTTGGAAACTTTTCAACAGAGCAGTGTCTGTTCTGAGTCATCATGGCTCTCATAGAAAAACTAATCTAACAGAGAACCTTGTTGTATAGTCCTTACCACAAAGGTGAATGGCCTAGGTGACAGGGCTCTGTAGTCATTGACGCAGTCTCTCACGCACACCTCCACCTGAGCTTCTTGGACCCTGTAGCCCGTAGCGTCGTTCAGCAGACACACTATTCTGTAGATGGAAAGTTGGAGGAATTGATTTTGAAAATGACGGAGTAAGAGGTCAGGGTAAGGGTGATGATGTTGTTGTTTCTTTCTTTGGTTTCTTTTGTAACAAATCCACCTTAATACTAAACCAGTTTGCAGAAGTACACAACTGTGCCAACAAGATAACAAAAGCAAGGACATACTGTACATTAACCACAAACAGAGGACTGTCGCATCCACATGCAACCATTGGTGTCCCTGATAAATCTGCAGTCCCTGTACTTCGCGCACTAGACACCCCAGAGTGGAGTGAATGGTCAGTCACGTGACCCCAGCAGACTTTGTATGCATAGTACACTGCACTGAAATATCTGACACAATAGATTTGAATCCATGTCTCAGGAGTAATGAAAGAAAGTAAAAAAGAAAATAGAGCGAATCTGACGAGCACGGAGGAAGAAAATATAAAAAAATATGACATGTTTGAAGCGGTGCAGGAATGTCAAGAATAATGTGTAAAATAACTGATGTGTGTGTAATATTTGAATAGGGATGCCCTCTATCTCAACATGCATCATTTCCCAACTAACTGCACTACAGAGAGATTGTTTGATCTGCGTGAACTCAATTCCTCAGCCGTGTAGGACCCAGCAGAGGAGTAAATGTCAGGATGGAGGGATGAGAAAAATAAAGGAAAGAGCATATGTAGGGAGTAATGGAGGGGAACGACAGATAGAATTTACAGACACACAAAAACCTCCCTCCCTGATGTCACTATCTTCTCAGCTGTTGAGCAAGGCTGCACATACGCAGAAACCATGCTCAGGCTGACTTTTTTGTCTGTCATTTCATCGGTCAGGATGAGAGAGGTCCGGGACACTGCTGCCTTTAGTGTGTGTGTGTGTGTGTGTGTGTGTGTGTGTGTGTGTGTGTGTGTGTGTGTCCTCATATCTATGAGTGTGTGCTCCAGTGAGAGACAACTGCTGTCTGCGTGCGCCTGCAAATGCATTTGTCTGAGCTTTGTGAGCGTACACACCTCTGTGCCATTTACAGTCTGTGCATGCTCTGTAGTGGATGTGCGTTTGTATGCGTATCCTCTGCTCCTTTACTTACCTCTCTGCACTCACGTACTCCTCCTCAATAGGCACGCAGGGCACCTTGCCCAGCCTGACGCCCATCTGGATATCTCTGAACTGCAGACCGAGATTCTCCCCCAGGATGGTCACCCTGGTTCCCCCTTGGCGAGGCCCTGTCTCAGGGAACAACTGAGGAACAAGAGGACGGAGGGAGAGTATACCGAAAAGAGACAGAATAGAGGAAAAAGAGACAAAATCAATATTTTGATCTTTGACCAGTGGATTCAAAAACATATTCACATTAGCATAAGTATACACATACACATTAATGTGCAGTTTCATATTCTGTCCCTCTACAACCAGTTTAAAATGTGAAAATGGTCCCCAAACATGACATTTCTTGAACGGGCAAAACGCACATAAAAACACACAGAGCTACCAACCCACACAAATACACACACACAAACCATACAGAATTGCCCATATTAGGTGATTCAAGTTTTGATGAAGAAAAATCACCCTCTTGGCTTTGAAAAACACAGAAAATGAGATAAAGAGAGGGCGAAAAAACAAGTTATGCTGACACACAGAACCAAACCGGCGTCATCTCGGGGGGGTTTAATTGAAACTTATTACGGCGGCTTGGCTTCGTCGCCGAGGCTGTGGCGCTGTAACGTGCAGTCGCGCTGCTGCCGACCCGTAATGTGATTTATCTAGCCAGATTATGGCGCGTAACGGGGACAGGTGTGGTGTGACAAAACAAATATGGTGACTGATGGACGGTGGCTGTCACACACACACACACACACACACACATTACAGCACGGACATGCACACACAAACCTAATCCCTAACAAGCATCACGAGGTAATTATGTATAATCTGTCCATTGCCCTGTTCTTCTGCAGTGCTTGGCTGAGCAGTCAGTGCAGTGTGGAAATGCAAAGTTAGGCGCTGACAGTACGGAGGGGATACTGCTATTATTACAGAGCAGACAGTTATAAACAACAGACCTTGACAAATGGTGATTTCAGAAGTGTTGGACCAGTTTCGGGGGATGAAGAATTTGTCTTGTCCGACACATGAGATATATATAATTCTAAACTTTTATCTGGAGAAAGTCAACTGAGATCCAAACCCTTTTTCTGCACCCTGCTTCAGAACCAAAGGCTACACTGTTGGCTAATAAACAAAGCCACTGGAGCATTTGGACTTCAACTGCCTATATGTGTATAAAAACCCACTACCCACCAGAAAATAAAAATCATACATTCATACACACTGATACAACCATTTTAGAATTTTGCCAAATGTCATTTCAATTTATGTAACTCAGGGTGTCGGTCTTTCTGGAATAAAAGCATAGAACAACTAAAAAACTGGAGATTTTAACAAGGAATTGTGGGATCTTCTTGTTGAAGTAAATTCACACTTGTTATGTTCTTTCTACAATGGAAATCAATGTTTGCAAAATTCATCCCAACGCTGAACAAGTTCCCACTTGCAGTTTGCTTTGCTTTCCCCTTCTGACTGAACCTCTGCCCAACAGCTCTGTCTTCCTCTGTTACCTGTCTTTTTCTCACCATTCTGATAAAAACATACTGTCCTATTTCCTGCAGTACTCTATTGTCCAAATATTGCATCAGGTGAGTACTAACAGTTTGTTCCAACACTGCCTCTGTACAGACAGAGGGTTTGTAAGTCATCAACCTGTAGGAATTGTTTGTATTAACTTTCAAGGCTTCATTTACTTCCATTGCTGCAAGAAAACTGTAAGTTACTTACTCCCTGAAAAAGGCCTGTTTTCTATCAAATTTATATGCTTTTTCATTTTTTGTTGACCTAAACTTAAAATGTACCAAATAAAAGCTTTGCCTGAAAGTCAGTAGGAACAACTTCAGTAAATCATATAAAAGATTTGAAAAAAACAAAACCTCAAAGAGTAGAATTAGAACATTTCTGACTTTAGCGACTCACGGCCGTACAGTAGTATCCAAAAAAATTTCACCGAGATCATCTCATTTTTTTCACAAAGAAAAACGTATGCTCTCTGAATCATTCAAAAGATGCTACAATAACGTGAAAAAATACACATATGGATACTTAATCTTTTCAAATTCAATGAAGTACCTAATGATTCTTTTAAATGAACTTCATGCTCATCTTGCCAGGAAGCTACCGAATATTATTGCAACAGATTGTCAGACAAACCACATCTTGGATGCTCTCGCATGTTAGGAGCAAAAACACAATCATTTGGCAGACATTATTGTGCAATACACAAAGACACAGCAGCTCCAGGCAGACAATATCTGTTAAGTGTTTAAGAGAAAGAGTTTATAGTAATGTCTGAATGTAAGTGTTTTGTGTTGGAGTTTTAAAACCAGTACCTTGCAACCCACTATAATAAATCATCTGTAAAACAACATGGTAACTGGAGTGAACTGAATGAAGAGACCGCAAGGGAGACACAGAGAGAGAGAGAGGAGTGTAGCTGGGGATAATGCTGCCTACTATTTGGAAGCTGACTCACGTTGGAACCTCAGGCGCCAGTGGAGCCTCAGCACTTTGGTTCCAGAAACACAATAGCTGGTAAACACTGACCGGAGTGAGTAGCCATCAAGCTCTAGGGTACGATATGGACAACAGATGTCAGGGTGTGGAAATGGGGCTTCGGCTGGTTTTGGAAGAATGAAGCTATGATACCACAAAACACATTAGCAGCTAGCCACCAAGGCCTGGGATATAAACACTGGCAAAGCCACAGACAGACAGGCAACAGAGAAAGAGAAAGAGGAGTGAGTGCTGCTAAAAGGGATTACCAACATCACCACTGAGGACTGTGGAAACAAATACTGTCACACCAACACACACACACACACACACACACACACACACACACACACACACACACACACACACACACACAAACAACAGTTAAAAAATGCTTTAGGATCTTATACACATGTAACATGAGAACAGAACTGTTTTGATGCTAAATTATTCTCACTACTGATGTACGGTGAAGCACACATCAGAGACCAGCATACAGTGCTGTATCAAACTGTATTTTTAAAGGTCCCATATTGTAGGAAGTGAAATTTCCATGTCTTTTTTTGTTTATAAATCAGGTCTAGGTTCTATATTAATACTGTGCAAGTATCAAAGTGCTCAGCCCACACAGAAATGCGCACAGCCTGTATTCAGAAACTGAGCCTTAAAACAAGCCGTCAGGACTTCTTTAACTTTGTGATGTCACAACTACACAGCTGCTGCCCTTGGATCATTTCAGTGGGTTATTTCATCATTGATTGACCCCTGCCATTTGCATTTGCTGGTGAGATTTCCCATTTACAGTAGCAGGCTACAATCTATTTCCTGAGGTTGGCTTGGCCATGTGCCACTCAGAAAACAGGGGGGTCTGAGCCTCTCTTCTGATTGGCTCACCAGCCTGTTGTTGCTAGAACTCAAAATAGGAGCCTGAGAGAGGAGATGTAAAACTACATTGAGATGATTTTTGGTTCTTAAAACAACAAATATATCTTCTCATGGATATTAACACTTTGAATAAAACACCTTTAAGGCCATTTATGGACCTTTAAGTGATGCTATTCTCGACAGTGGGATTTTCTGGTGTCTGCTAGAATCCCTACACATCCTTAACTACTGTATGGTTCAATGTGGTGTTAACATGAACCTACGGCAAGCCGGAGCTAGAGATAGAGTTAATTACAGCAGAGGCCCATTTAGCTTGTACGCAGACTCTCACTACTTTGTACCAAAGACAGAAAAAGCTGTGGTTCCTCTTTAGTTATACATAGGCAGCATAAATGTACTTAAGTGTCCAGAAGTGTATTTATATGATGTATTACTGTCATACTACCATGTGTAGTTCTGTGGCTTCATTGGTATAGCATTGACACTGACAGGATATCCAATACAAGTAATAAGGTATCATGGTCCTGTATGATTTTTTTTAGATGAAAGATGAAAAGCAGACTGCAATTTTAAATGCTTAGATTTCTGATGCCACTTTCACTGGAACTGTTACTCAGATAAATGAGCATGGGTGTTTGTGGTGGCTCCATGACCATCTGTCACTCCTCCTTCATATTTGCGAGGAGATAGGTGAGGTTCTGATAGCTGGGGCATATGTTGCGCAAACTACCACTTCGTGCACTCAGCACGATCGGCCCCAAACAAGAACTGGCAATCTCAAAATCCCTCAAAAACCTCAGAGGAGGGAGAGGGGAGCCCTGAGAAGATGATTAAAGTGTTGGATGCAGCGTGGCTAACCAACAGTAAGTGGAGCTGCTGACCAAACACAGATGCCTTTCATTCTCCATGGAACAACGAGACTTAAGTAAGCAATAACATCGCCTCTAATCAACCACATTATGATCTCTAGCTATGCATCTGAAACCTGATCGCTGCGGTATAGAAGATGGAGCAAGCCCATTATACCTACGAGCTGCTATGACTGACAGATTGTAATGTTGGGTACCATAATAATATTCCTCTAACATCTGAGAGTGGATTTCCATTGGAACCTCACAACAACTCTTGGAAGTATAAAAGTATGGCACCACATAACAAGATAACTAGCGCTCACTGAGCCTGTGCGCATGCACACAGATGCCACAGTGTGGAAATGGGATCTCAAGCAGCTTTGGACTCACGTTGCAGTGATTTGACACAACACTACTACATCCAGGCACATAACCGCCACTCTCTGGGGAATGTAAAGTACAAACGCCCTGAAGCTGGGAATGGTTTTGGAAAGATCGTGATCTGATACAACAGAACCACATTTAAGCACTAACTAACAAGCTTTAGGATAAAACGGCAAAAGGATAACGGATATAATTGTTCCACATGAGCGACCAAACTAATCTGAGACTGGACTAACACAAGGACCACAAATGCTTGTGGAGTAAAACACAGTCTCTGCCAGCTACTAGACGCTTACCACCAAACCCTGGATGTAACAGCCAGATATTCACAACTGAAAAGCATTTTTTTTTTTACTACTGCATTCCATGTTGTTTTGTTTGGGGGCAGCATTTGATTTTGCTCTGAGCAATCAGTAATGACTTACTTCTTTGTATTTGGCTGCTCTGACGCCATTTTTGGTCACTGAGGCTAAATTTGTCATCACAGTTAGCAGAAGTTAAGCAATCTCGCAGACAACCACAGTAAATTGAAAATGCATGCCGTTTATGCAAAGATGAATGATGAGAACTGAAGGTCCCTCCACTATGTCCAAACTTCCACAGCTTTGGAAGTATCAATAAATCTAATTAATCTTTTTATCAATTATTTAATCTTCACATGATTTCCTTCCTATGCTTGGCTACTTCTTTCGAATACCACTGACCAGGAATCCGGTAGAAGTAAAGTCCTGCGGCGTTACTCTGTGCTGGTATATTGCAGGCCTGACCGCACAGTAGCCACATCAAATCATCAATATTATAGCAGCGGTTTCCTAGTAGTTGTGTATATATATTGTGTGTGTGTGTGTGTGTGTGTGTTTGTGTGTGTTCTGTCACATGGTAATCTAGCTGTGGTCTCAGTGCTAACCACACGTTAGCCATGGAAGCAGCAGCCAGCAGCTGTAAAAAATACTGCTAGTAAAGTTGTTTATGTGGTCAGAACATAGTTTGAGAAAACTGCTAAGGCATCTAAGCAAACAGGGCGTATGGGAAATTCAATTTCCAAAGAATCTTTTTTATGGGTCTCTTTTCTTTCTTGGGAATACTAACTCAAACAAATAATCTATAAGCATTGTTATTATTCTCAAATATAATAAAAACCTGTGAATACTGAGCAGGAAGTATCATTTTCACAAAGGTGGATTTTAGGTGTTTGGAGTCTAAAATGTTATTAACATATTCTTGTTCTTGATAGGATCAACTCAGGCTATTTTAATGTGTTGAGAGACTCGGTTGACGGTATGCTCTTGTTTTCTATTACAATTAACCAGAACACCTACTGCATACAGGTCAGTATGTATCAGTGTGTATGAAGGAAAATGCCATCGTCGTCGTTTCCACAGAGACTGATGAACCTGGTTTATCTTAAAATAATCATGTCCAAAACCTGACCGTAGTAGCTTAACCTTTGAAGGTCTCACACGCAGTTCAATTTATGGTCTGATCACATTATCACCTTTGATGGAAAAATGTAATTATCTCATTATTAAATAACCAGCATTGAATTGGTTATAAAATGAAAAATGTACCTGTTCCTTTAATTATTTAAATTGGCCTCTTCAGGGCTGAATGACAGTTAAGTGAATGGTATTGATACTCTTGATAGCTGATGTTGCTGCTTGATAAATAAAAGTCTTAATGTCATTGTGCCGCCTCTACTGGAAGGGAATGTAAACTGAACAAGGCAAAATGAATCCATGCATCAAGAGAACAGAGACAACAGCCACTGTCCTCATATCAAGATGTCTTTTACTTTTTGCTTTCATAACTCTTTAGACATTTATTACTCCCAGTTTCACTCCACTTGTACTATTATCATAAAATAAAAAACACATCACTCTTACTCTGCCTTCTCCTTCTCATGCCCTTGTGGACCCAATCGCGCGCGCACGCACACACACACACACACACACACTGATTCATGAATGCACAAAATAAACTTTGTTCTTGATAGATACATTTTTTTTATTTGCGTGTGCATGTTTTATGCATGCCTTTATTACCGCATACAACAAACATGCTGTAAGCATTCATGCACACGCACACACAGGCTCACTTCAACATGCATACAAGCATGTTTACTCACATGGATGGTCAGTTTGTGTCAATACAACAATCATTACACAAACACACACACAGCAGAAAATTCCTCCATCTTTCTGTTCGTCCTCTGCTCCATCACATTGTCAATGACTTAATTTCGTCATCCTCTCACACGTTAGACATTTAGCTAACTCTTTTATCCAGACCAACGTATAGCAATAAGGGTTATAACATTACATCACGTCTGTGGTGTTACCAGTTCTGTAAGATCAAGAGGCAGAAACTTAGAATCACGCTACCCATGATCCAACAGTATGGTCTCACCCTATTGCACGGCCTGAACATGATTTACCTTGTATCAAGAGGCAAAATCTCCATACATTGACATATAGTCAAAAGACTTTCTCATGATATTTAGACAATGAGCGTAAAAAAGAAAATTGAACGAAAAAAGAAATTGACTGTCTCCAGTCATTTGATCAAGAACTGAGGCTTTAATGAGTCTTATTGCTCTTAAAAACAAATGAAGATAGATAATTCCAACCTGGAATATTCTCAGATTTTGTACCTGCTCTGAAAGAAATATGTTAATATACATAATTTTACCGTTTTCCTGTCTTTTTTTAGACTATAACAGTCTCTGAGATTCTGATAGGAAGAAAGGCAGGTAAGAAAATAAAAATTCCACAATCAAAAATAAATAAAACATGTAAAGAAAACCAACATGAATGAATCTGAAATCTATAACAGACTGAGGCAAGTCTTCCAAAGACATCAATACAGAGAGAGACAGCATCATACAAAAATGAACATAACTAAAAGACAAAAAGGAATCAATACCAAACAAACCTTTACATGCCCGTCTCCAGAGTACCAGTTTGATGTAACAGTGAGTAATAATACCATTTCTGTGCCAAGGGCAGGCACAAGGTCCCAACATGTGTGTGTTTTAATAGCAACACATTAAAATAGAGCAGCTTTCATTCTCAGTTCAGGACACGTAGGGCTTTCATGACCACGGGGGCTTCAACAAAGAGAGCTGACGCAACGGCCTATCAAGGTTTACGAGCCTCGGATCTGCGCAGGTGACTCCACACTCCTCACAAGTTGACGAGATTATAATGTGGAGCTCAAAGAAGCAGCGCTGCTTTTCTTTACAGGTGACTGTAGAAATGTAACACTGGAGGGAATCTGAGCCAGTTTTAGTGGTGATTCCACTCTCTCAGCTCATACTTCACTTTTCACCTAAAAATATCCACTAGTCAGATGCAATAGTGATTCAAGTTCATGTTTTTTTACATTTGAAAACCACACATTGGTTAAACTTTGGAAAAAATTAAAATTAAGTAGCAAGACAAAGCAAATGGTGTACTTTATTCTTCATGACTGTAAAATGAACAATGAGAAAATACTGTTGCTCTTGCTTTTGCACAAATCCTGATCATAGTTTAAAAAAAGGACAACTTGTTGATATTTGCAAAATTTGGCATTGACTGTTTTGTTTTCAACATCACGAAAAAAGTGGGAGCTATAGCCAAAGTGGCTGTCACCGCAGCCAGTTTCATTAGAGTGGGAGCAGTACAGAAGTTTGTGTGTCCTAATATAAAAACGTTGGAGCTGTTTTCAGCATGTTCGGTACAGTAGCCTGAAATATTGAAATATTCTTCATAGAGAAGCTTTTGAGTTCAGTTTATCTTCTATTTCTGCATTGTAAATATATAATTACTGGTTCTATTGTAATGGTTTGTGGTATTTACAGCAGCTTATTTGTATTTCTAAAATCCTATACAGAGCATCTTGTTTGTTGCTTTTTTAATTCAGTACAAAAAAATTTTCATCATTTCAATCATTTTATTGTCCATAATTAATAAATTGACATAAAACTAAATTAGCAATTGAAACACAACAAAGGAAATAGGGCACTATTTAAAGGCAGAATACTTCATTGTAATATTATCGAAAAACGACTGATTTTTCAGTTGGAACCGCACCCCCCACAGGTTTAAACATGTTAGCTCAGGCACTGTTGGATGTGCCGATGTGTGGCTGGGCTTTGGGTTTTCTATATTTTGTTTGACCATAGCAAAGAGGTCAGGGTTCATGCTGGTTTCCCATCACCTGCCAAAGTAGCATCTAACTCTATGTTTTTGAGCACTGGCTCATGAAAAGTGTTGTCTATATCATGTCAGCTCATCCACAAAGTGGAACTTTTTCTGTGATTTGGAAAACACTCAGTTGTGTGTGAAAGGAAGCCAGGCTCAGCACTCTCTTTCTGTGTACCTGGCAACCGTTCCATTAACTGGGAAAAAAAGGCGCTCAGTGAGTTTGTGTATCGCAATATTTTTCTTCTTGGGTGCATTTGTGTGGGAGAGACTTGAAAAAAAGGCAGAATACCTTTTAGATTTGAGTATGTATACAGTATGAAAGCACAGAATAGTTCAGAAACCAATATCGGAGTAATGGATGGCATTCATGCTCTCTCACATGCACATACAACAGAAAATCTGTATGACCCCATAGACATAGAAATGAAAATGTTTCACACTCAGTCATAAAGTGACAATTGTCAACTTGCAGCTACAGAAAGAAAAAAATACAGCGATGCCTGAAAATACATAATCAGTAAATTTTGCACCCTACTCAGTATGTGGTGAGTGGTGGTATCTCAAACATATGCTGCCGCACACTTACCTTAGTGATCTTCGGGTGGGTGCAGCGGCTGTTTCCAGAGGTGGCATGCATCCACCCTCCACCTTCAGCCAGCTGCAGTGGGAGGTGGGAATTTCCTCCACCGGTACACTCCTGCCTGAGGGAGCACTTCTTGTCCTGGACGCACCAGCCACATTCAAACCTGGGGTCAGCCTTCAGGCACATACCACAACTGTCCCGCAACGCTCTGCACTTGTACAGGTGAGCTGGTTGGGAGACAGAAAGAGTGGGAGAGAGACACATATAACTTAATTGAAGTTGATGAAGTAATACAAACGTCATTCAGTCACTGGGCAGCTTTGGAGAATGAAAGTCTCAATGGTCGATGGGGATGAACAACAGTTTTCCACAGAGCATGTTGTCTAAATATGACAAGTGTTATTGTTCACTGTGGTCAATGCACAAATGAACACAAATGGCATTAACATTCATTTATGTATGTTAAAGGATTAGCATGCTAGCTAACCAGGCTAATAAGAGTGTACAAGGTAATTCGAATTCTGATCCAGGCTAGCTAACTGGCAAGCTAACCCAGCTAATTTAGCATGACTAGATTTAGTTAGAGACAGTGTTTTAGATTAGGTCACACCACTATTTCATTTAGTTTCTTTTACCATTATCCAATGTTTGTAATGTTACAGCTTTTCAAACAGAGTACCTCGCGTGATATTTAGCATACAGGCAAATCTCCTCATTTAACTCCATGGAAGAAAACGCATATGTGTATTTATCAAAGTGTCAAATAATTGCTTTAAATTTTACTTTCAAGTACAGTTCTACACATTTCTTCATCTTTCTGCACTAATACCTTTGAGGAAAAGAGGTTTTTGTTGATTTTCTACAGCTGGCTAAATACATGTTCATATAGCAATTAGCTTGGTGTAGCCTAATTCAAATGCATGAACTATAGTAACTTTATGTTGGGAAATTTACTTTATGTATTGGAGTGGGAATTCTTATTTTTGATGAACATTAAGTTCTGTAAGTTGTTGAAGTCTTGAAAAAAAAAAAAAAAAAAAAAAAGCAACGGTGGCAAGAAAAAAGTAATCAGGTGTTTATGTGTCTGTGAGCTTCAGAGAGAGCAAAGGACCGGCATAAATGAATGTTAATCACCCACATAACACCTAAAACCTTGAGTAGGTGATTATTACCACTCTGAGGCTGTGACGATGAGAGAACTGTTTCCACAGATAAATAGAGAAAAAAAAATTAAAAAACATGAACAAGAGACCTAGAGGGATATTACAGAAATTAATTCAACACCTAATGTCTTCTAACGCCAACAGGGGAATTGATAATTTGTTGTGTATAAAACCATTCCCTCAACTCTGCAGAGTGGAAAAAGTCATTAAAAGTAAAAAAATTATAAATAAATAAATAGATAAATAAATAATTAAAACCTCAAACACCTGAGAAGTTAGAGGGGAGGGAGATGAAAGAAAACAGGGAAGAGGGGGAGGATAAATTTTAGCTCTGCTTGTTAACAAAACAGCAACAAGAATTGTTATGAATTTAAAGATGGTGAGGCCCCGCGAGGCTGAGAGAATCAGAGGAAACAGATAGAGCCAGAAAAAGCGAGAGGTTGAGAGGAAATGAAGGAGAGAGGTGAAAAAGGGACCTTAAACAACAGAGAATGAGAAAAACAAACAGGAGGAGGGGAGGTCACATGCAAACAAGACAAGAAAATGTACCGGTAAATGGATAAGATCTTTTGATTTTTGTTTGTTACCATTTATCATCTGCTAATCTCTATCATAATTATCTCTGTTGATACTGATATTGCCAAAACCTGCAGGCAGGTTTGTTTGCTGTCACACCAGTTAAACAGATTTGAAATGAAGTAAAGTGGAAAAACATAGGGAGGGGGTTTAAAAAAAAAAAAAAAAACAGAGCAACAGAGCATGCAAGAATCTCCTCCCTTCACCTCCTTCTCGGCAGACATACGGCGGCCGGACTTCAAAGCGAGCGTCTTTTGGATCCATCTGCCCGCCTCGGCCCTTCGCTCGCCCTAATCTGATTAGCCACGGCTCAGCTTAAAAGTAGCGCGACACTAATTAATCTGAACCAAATGAATGATTTAATTAACATTAACATCTCCACTTTACACCGGGGCAAAACCGGGTCAGCTGCGAGCAGCTCTGCCTCAGACGGATAATACAGCTCCAATTCAGAAAGAAAAAGACGGGGACGGTGCAGGGAGGGGATTAATAAAGGATGGAGAGAAAAAGGAGGAGAAAAGGAGAAGGTCTTTATGAGATTTGTATGAGTGAGGATGGTTTTATAATGCATGTTTTTAACGAGTCTTAGACCTTCAACACTAAGCATTGCATTGAACTCGTATAATCCTAATGGGTATTCTGTGAGGCTTTAGAACAAAATAACCATAATATATCTATTGGGGTGTGATAAGGTTGTTGATTCATTCTTATTACTAATCCATAACCTAGCCAGCTGTTTCAGAAGTCTGTCTTCGGTTTCTTTTGAGAAACCCTCCATTGGCCTGGGATGCTTCCTGCATAAATTCCTTGCCACCTAGAAAGCCGAGAAGCAAGTACTGCTCACTCATAGTCATAACATACTTGTCAAGTTCACACACACACACACACACACACGGTACCACACACACCACACAGCGTACACAACACACACGCGTACACACAACACACGCGTACACGTACACACACACACACACACCACACACCACTCACACACACACACGCGTACACACACACACACACACACACACACACACACACACACACACACACACACACACACCACACACACCACACACACACACAACACACACACACACACACACACACACACACACACACAACACAACACACACACGCGACACGACACACACACACTACCTCTAAGTTCATTGGATTTCACACTCCAAAACTCTCAGAGCTCCACACCATCCTGTCACATGCAAAGCGCTCACTGTGGCACACATCCCTGGGGCCTGTTGCAGGAGCTATCAGGATAACTTTGCTGTATAAAACCTCATATTGGAAAGATGGATGTCAAAAGCGCTGTGATGAGTTTTATTCAAAGTCATCCAGATAACCCCATATAACCTGTATAAAAAAAAAAAAGAAAGTACAGTCGCGTCACAGCACGCAAGAGCGCCCCCACAATTCCTCACAGCTCACTGTTTTCAGCAACACTTCATTTTCAAAATATCAACAGGGAGCTGTGAGGAAATTTGTGGATTTTGAGGTGCCACAACAATAGCCAGGAGAGTGTTTTCAAACAGTAGGAGGTTTATTCCCTCGGCTGTATTTCAGTCCCATTTCCTGTCTTAACATATTCACTTTTAACTAGATATTGTTGAATATTTTTTATGTATATTGAAATGTCAGATACCGACAAGTGAAATATTGTTTACTAAATTTAGTTTATTGTTAAATGACAGCAATGAGAGACAGAAAAGGTTAAGCAAAAATGTATTTTACGCCTGTTGTAGCAGAACAGTATCTCTATCCTGATTGCTGGTTGAGCTCTAATCTATAATATGTCATGTTTATGAAAAAAGGTAAAGCTCGGGTCAGTCATTGCTTCACTTCGACTCAAAGAAGGTGAAGAAGAAGGTATAGTAGGTCACTTTCACACATGTGGTGTTTGGTCCTGACCAAAGACAAAGAGTAAGGGTGTTTACTAAGCACTAAGTCACAAATAACACTGCGATTCCATAAGTAGCCAACATGCTCACAATGACAATGCTAACATGCTGATGACTAGCCGGTGTAATGTTTACCACATTCATCATCTTTGCTAAGTGTGTTAGCATGCTAATAGTAGAACTAAAGACAGAGTACAGCTCAAAGAAACCAGCACAAACCAAAGTACTGGACAAATTTTGGTGGCGCTAGATGAAAAGTCAGAGACTCGCCAATAGCAGCCATTTGTCTGGGGAACATGAAAACTTCTACGGCAAGCCATCCGATATTTGTTCAGATATTTTAGTCTGAGCTGATGTGGTGGGATGAATGACATACTGCTAGCATGGCTAAGAATTACACGTTGTTAGCATGTAGGTTTTGTGTTCTCAGGAAAGGAGCAATTATGAAGTTATATGGACTGACGGGTAACTCCTCTATTGCACAGTTTGAGCGACTGACATCCTGCATCATCAGCACTGCATAGTCTAGTTGAAGCAACCGCTCAGTTGGTCCAGTTACTTCAAACAAACTGCTCCTGAGTTTACCTGGAAGAGACTCAATGCAATTTCTGCACGCTTCTTTGAACTTCGTGTTTGACAGTGTTCAGACTGGCATGAGTGAAGCAAACCGAATGGGCAAAATGTGCCCAACTGTTAGTTATTTTACCTCATTTTACCAATAAACAGAACAGTACAAACCTAACAGTATTTTATAACTATATACAACTTACTATGATGAAACATTATATCTTAAAATATTCTATAAATGCTGATACTCCTGAATAAAGTATTTGCTGTATTTAGACCTGTGTTGCTCAGCTGAATACTTATCTGATTAGGAAGAGTCATCAAATCTATAGTTCAACAATATAGAATAGGATCCATCTACTTGATTGAATAGAAATGGGATTATTTATTTTGTTGTGACAGCCACAATACTTCTCAGCACATGTTAAACACTGGATGTTTAATCCCCCGGAGAGAATCTCACAGCACAGACCCGCAGAAAAGCTTAAAGGAGCACATTTTAAACAAAATTACACTGGCAGAAGAATTAGGTCATGACCGATAAGCAACTAATTTCCAAGCAATCTGCAAAATGAACTGCATGTCTGACATTTATCAAAATGAGGTCAGATACAACACAAAGGATGTAAGATTAAAATGTGCATGTGTGTCTTTTTAAGACTGAAATGAATGGTGAATGAAATAGAAAAAAAACACAGAGGAGAATAGAGTAGGGAGGGTTAGTTAATCTGACTCTAGACATGCAAATTCAGAGCAAAAGACTTTATGACACACTTGAGAGCAAGACTTATATTATCTTGTGTAATGGGACGTCTAAAATCATTAGCCTCCACCACCCAATATATTACACTTGATAAAGAATTTAGAATTGGTAATTGTTTTCCACTTCATGCACAAATAGCGATTAAAAATAATAAATGCCATCCCTCCATGTCGCTCTCTGTTTTTCTTTATCATTCCCTTTACTCTCATCTACCCCCCGCCATTACATGGTGCATTTATCAACCTGTCATCCACCCATCTTTCTTCCTCTTCATCTTTTCTTCTGCCTATCGCTTTCTCCATTTGTTTATCTTCCTCTCTAACATCCATCCCTATTAATTTCTGTGTTGGATGTTTTGTTTGTTATCATTGCCATCCATCAATCACTCCCTCTGCCCCTCTTTTATCCCTGAGACGAGAACAGTGTTTTTTCCAAACTAATGGTACACTTTCACCTTTCTCCCTGATGGCTGTCAAAAATAAAATTACAGATTTCTTATGAAGGGGAAACACTGCACACGGCATTGTTGCTTCACAGAAAATCATTACCGACAGATAAACAAGCAGGGGCGGCTCAAATTTTCTTTTTTTTTTTTTTTTTGGCCAAGCAACAAAGAAAATGTTCTACCTTGAATGTTGAACGGGTTGTCAATGACAAAGTTTCCATTCCACACCACGGAGAGGTCGACTGGCAGGTCACTGATGTCACCACCCTCGTAGTCGTACTGAGAGAGACACAGAAACAGAGAGAGGGCAAGAGAAACGTGTAAGAAAATGGTTGATTTATAATGGATTCAATGCAAATTGGGAATTGTATGAGATATTGTTTCATTTGCATAGTGATTCGCCCCGGCTTGTTCATTGCAGACAGTGATACAGTCCGAGCATGAACACATGCATAAATCCATATTCACCAAAACAGACATATTTCATAAATACACACAGAGAAATAACAGATGGGTTACAGTTGAACGGCATGGCTGAATGAGACGGAGCCTGAAGAATGGGGGGGGGCGGGGGGGCAGGATGGAGGGAGAAAGGACGGGACAGGTGACAAGAGGAAAATGGGGGGGAAAGATGAGGAGAAGAGAAGAAGAAGATGGAGGGGAGGAGGAAGAGGAACAGGGGGTGGTCAGGAGCGGTGAAAGCAGACAGGAATCGGACACCGGTGGACGTGCGAGAGGACCTTATTCATTTACACATGAGCTAAGTGGTGGGATGAGGGTAAGGGAGAGATAAGATACGGGGCAGTGTAAAGTGAAATTGGCATTTCCAATTTGCTCTCTGACACACTGGATTTGGAAGACATGGATCGACCGGCTCATATGGGCAACGGGGCCTGAGACAGACACACACACACACACACACACACACACACACACACACACTTAGAATCAAAACTTTTCTCTTCACTCTCTACCTCCAATCCAGTTCCATGACTAAAATACCAAACATATGAGGGAAGGAATATGATACTCATATAGGCTATGATGTGTTTGACACGGACTCGAATGAAATTAGTAAGGCTGGTGCTAATAGATTAAATGGATCATGACATGCATGGGTCGTCTGTATACCGGCAAAGTATATAAGCTACTGAAATACGTGTAAAAACATGGCGTTATTTCAGATCAGTGATGGTTTCAGGTCAGCTTAGGGCCTCGAAAACACGGCAATGAAATAAAAAGACAATAGAGGAAAAAGAAGATCATAAACAAGAGGACAAAGAAAGAAAGGGAGACTTTGTAAACAGCCACATAAGAAGAAAGGATGTGGGAAGTCTGGATCTCTACTGAGACAGTGAGAAGCTAAGGGAAGCACGGCCCAGCGAAACCACAGGATTCTGGGAGGTCAGCAGCTCCAGAGGAGAGGGATTCAACCAAAACACTCTTTCGCCACAAAGGAAATGCTGATTGGTCTTATTCCCTTCCCACTAGTTCAGTGTGACTCCAATCCATCACGCATAAGGTAGGCTGTTGACTTTATTAGCATCACTATTACATCCCACTGGCTAAAGACCTGTGTATGGCAGCTAGTATCCCCGGTGAAACCACAGGACCCACACACACACATGTGCCCACATACCACTCCTCTTCTCTCCGCGGCGAGGCCCCTATTAAACTTTAAGGGTTTTGACTTGTTTGCCATCACCAAAACACTGGGTGAGCTTGTTCTCTTGTCACTCCCTGCCCACCCCGCTGCCCGCCACATCATGCTTTATTCATACCGTCACATGGTTTAAAACGCCGACACAAACCACAGTGTGACACCGCGACACCGTGCCACCAGTCACACCAAGCATCACCCGCTGTCTAACCCCGCTTCCTGGGGCACGCTTGGGAGTAAAAGATGATTTGTCAGCTGATGCAATACTGAAGGAAATTCAGGAAAAGGAGAAGAGGCAGCAGAGGCACGAGCCTACAGCCGCGCTAGCAGCTCTGTGAGGCTATACTTTACCACAGCTGTGCTTTGAGCTATGTGCTAATGTCAGCAAGCACAATTACAATGCTAACATGCTGATGTTTAATCATGAATGTGCACCATCTTAGTTTAGCGTGTTAGCATGCTAATATTTGCTAAAGTAGCACAAAGCACAAAGGGCAGCCCAGGCTGGTTGGAATGTCATTACTTTTGTAGATTCCCTGTCTCAAACCAAAGTATTGGACATTGTGAAATTATCAACCTGATGATGGCGCTAGATAAATAAGTCAGGGGATCACCAGTGGTATTACAAGTCATCCTGAGGGCTGCCAGATTACATGGCAATCCAACCTATGGATCTTGAAGATATTTCACTTGAAATGTCAACCTCATGATGCTGCTGAAGGAAACGTCGGGGATAATCAAAGTCAGGAAGATTCATTCTCTGGGGAACCATTATGTCAGTAAAATTTAACAATATTAATTTTTAATTTATCACACTGGTCCTGTCAGTCACCAGTTATTACTCGACTCTGACCTCTGACAAATTAGTTTCTTCAGAGATTTAGCAGTGCAAGACGGCAGCTGGTTTTAGATTCAGGCATTTTGCATTACTGTAGGATTCCATTTTCAAGAACAACAATGTGGTGATCTTTAAGCCGCTGTGTAGTAGTTCATCTTCTCAATGGAAGTAAGTAAGTTTTTTGAGTAGACAGGAGTCTAAATGAGACAGAAATGTATAAAGTTTTATTCCAAAATGAACAGTCATCTTTTGAAAATGAAAGACAATGTGATAATAACGGTGGCATGAAATTATATCTAATGATACTCCTACAGCCATTATGTCTACTTCAACCTTACTTTACAAAATGGCAACATTTTTAAGGATGAGTGTTTTGGAGATTGAGTGCAGTGTTGTAGTCCAGGACTCGGACTCAGGAGTCTGACACAAGTCCTTATTTTCATGACAGACTCGGACTCACGCGATGACCGCATTCAGAGGACTCTCTTTTGTTAGTTATGAATCTGTTGGCTATTGTGTCACACAGTAATTAAAATCTCAGCGGTGTCATTTGTGTTTGATGCAAACCTTTTTATCTGTAAGTCAGCTCTTTGACTGCGCCAGAGTGAAGCTGACTCGGGAGTCAGGTAACGGGGACTAGACTCTCACTCGATGGATTGATGACTGTCATAGACTAAAATGCTTTGGGGATCTCTTTAACCTTTGGGACAAGAGGTTAAGCTAAGGGAGCAGGGTTAGGATTCGCACAGCATCATATTCACTGGAAGGTGTTTATCACAGAAGCCTACAAGCTGCTGAAATATAGTAAATACTGAAAACCTTCTATTTTGTTTCAAGACTTTAACTGCAGCAGGAAAACAAAAGGTATCTATGTCCCTCCTGGAGAATGTTTTCACTTGTTTGACAGTTTTCAGTTGTTTTCAAATATTTGTCACCATACAATTTTATCCAGTGTGTATAAAGGCGTAAATGATGTGTCCATGTTAGTGACAGCGAATGTGATTTGTCTGTACTTGTGCTACTTCTGGAGCCTCAGAAGAAGAGACGGAGCAGCGTGGCTCAACCAATATATTGATAAATGTACTGGAATCAAACTGTAGCTAATAACCTCCTCAGATAAAGTCAAATGCTTGACCAATAAAAAAGCCATTTGAGAAATCCATTCCAGCTTCACCTCATTCTTGCTTTGACTCACAGGCTGAACCAACTGAATGCTTTACCTAAATTCATCTTTCTCTAGAAAAAACATAAACAGTCTCTCATGGCTTAATGAGGAACTGTAGCTGTCTTTTGTTTGTATGATTTATTATCCATGCTTGTGTTTTCCCACATTTCCTGCGTTTAATTATGTTTTTGTCTCTCAGCCATCCCACTCTGGGTTACCTCTTTGGCCTCCATGTAGGATTTCTTCCATACTAGGCATTCCTCTGGTCTACTGGAGATTACATGTTTGCCTGCAGCTTATTGGAACAACCGATTATAGCAGTGCGCATACATACAGTATGGCTTCCTCCTCAAGGAAACTATAACTTCTGTTTGAAATGCTCACATATTTCACTTACCGATTGAACAGCTGTTGACTATCAGAATGTCGATAACTCTTGGTATAGCTTTGATCTCAAAGTGGCGGCACAAGTGCTGTTAAAAACTCTTTATTGGAGGAGCCCCGTAGGTAAAAGTTGCTCTCTCTCTCCCTACTGAGAGGCCCCTCTGCTGGCCTGCTGTCCTGACTTCCCTCCCCTGAGCGTCCGGAGCTGCTGGAGATGAGTAATCAGACTCATTACTGAAGCCTCTGGCCAGCTCCTCCATGTCACTGCATGTAATTAATCTACCTGAGCCAACTCATAGTGTAGGCCCCTCTAGGGAGGGGAGGGGAGGGGAGGGGAGGGGAGGAGAGGATAGGAGAGAGAGCGAAAGAAAAGAAGGAAGAAGGAGAGGATAAGGAGAGGAGAGGGGAGGAGAAAAAGAAGAGGATGCAGTGGTGCAAAGTTGGGTGGATAAAAGTGGAGGACAGCTAAAGAGGAGATAAGGGGAAAGTGAGAGTAGTGGAATTAGGAAAGGACGAGGGGAGATTAGGACAGCAACAGAGGGCAAAGTGGAAAACGAGGAGCGGCAATGAGAAGCGGTAAAGAATGACAAGAGGAAAAGAAGTAGAGGAAGGACAGAAAGAGGGAGAGAAGAGCAAATGGGACAAAAAAAAAGAGTAGAGGAGAGTAGGAGAGTTTAAACAAGGAGGAGATAAAGGAGAGGAGAGTATAGAGAGAAGGAGGAGGGGCATTAAGAGGGGACAAGGGAGGGAGGGGAGGTGACAAGAGGAGAAAAAAAGGAGAGGGAGGGGAGGAGGTGTAAAAAGTACAAGGTGAGCACAAAGCCGTCCCTGGCCTCATTACAGTAACACACCAGCCTGGCTCGGGTTCATTCGTTATCTGCTCCTGCACTCGTTTATTCTCTCGCTACATGAATCGTCTCCATGGATTGCATGTCTCCATGGACTGTATGAATAGATATGCTACTGTGTGTGTGTGTGTGTGTGTGTGTGTGTGTGTGTGTGTGTGGTGTGTTGTGTGGTGGCATACACATGGTGAAGTTGAGTGAACTGAAACTGCCAAGTTTACCAACACAGAGCAGCTGGCTGCTGGGTGGTGGGGGTGGGGTGGGGTGTGGTTGGTGGTGATGGTGGTGGTGGTGGGGGGGGGTGTAGGTGTGTGCATATGCGTGCGCGTCCATGTGCAGGTCACCCTCATGTAATTAGTCATGTTGAAGGATACATTGAAGGATATC